TTAGAGTGCCTATGTGTTAAAAATAACCGGCAATCTTTAAACAATTTGGGCCCCTCCGTTTAAGTGACCCTCTTCCAAATTTTAGTCCCGTTTCAACGGTTTTAACGGGGTAAATTTGGGTTTGATCAAATTTTAATGTGCTTTTTAGGGGAAAATTTTTTTATCACTGTTAAAAAAAAGGAAAGGTTTTATTCTATTTTTAGGGGTCACCCCTTTTCTGAAAAGGGGCCCGGGGCCCCTTTTGAAATTTTGTGCATCCATGTACCTCCCAACCCCATACCACCCATTATTTTATATGTTAAAACAAAATCTGGAAAATGGTTTACTGACAAACTTTTGTTTTAAAAATGTATCGGGGTAATGGGGAAAATTTCGCCTCTTCATGGGAAAGAAAAACAATGTCTTTAAATGTTATAACAGGTGAAATTTCGTAAAAGCTTGCTGAAACCCTTTTCAAATGCCCTCATTATTGGTACAGTTCCATGTAAAGTCTACGTCTTTTTTAGCAGGTCCATCATAGGACTAACTATATCTGACAGTATGGAGCTACACTTTGCCAGATGATATGTACTCATGCCGACAGAGTTTTTAACTCAGCTATGTTTTTTATTGGGGGTCAATACCTATAATAATTTAGTCATACAAACTCAATATTACCTCATACAGACTGGGACAATAACGTTGCTTTATTGTTCAGTAATTTTCACATATCAGCCATCAAAACTATATGAAAGACTTCTTCTACAAGACAACGTTTGAAGTAAGTTAATTTTATGTTTGATTTATTTCATCTTTCTTTGCTTTAAGATATCCCCGGGAGATGCTTTGGTAGTTTAGCGCGGAGGAAGGTAGTCTAGTACTGGTGAAACTCTCCAGGAACGATGGTTAGGAAACTACCCGCCTATATGACTGAAATACTGTTGGGAAAAGGCGTAAAATGAAACAAACAAACAAACAAGATATCTTTTACAAATATATATTTAAACATTTAAGTAAAATGGGTACGTATCTCACATATTTTTCACAGATTTTACCCTACTGCTAAATTTATTTAATTACACTCCTTTAAAAATTTACATGGAACCTAATGTCTTAGGAATTTTAACAGTGATACTAACCCGTGATAAGCCTCTGACACAAGTACTAGGAGTCTCACGAGGCTTTTGAAGTAAGCTATAAACTACTGCAGGCTTGCTTTAAAATATTCACTTTGATCTCGCTCCAATTTATAATAAACATATCCAAAAATGAGAATATTTTTGTAAACTAAAAGAAAGCAGAAAACATAGTTCTGGTGAGATAAAAGCCTGCTACCTACATCTATAATTGTGGCATATACAAGGAAATTTGAAAATTCAGCAACGAAAATTAATTTAATCATAAGCTGAAAGGAAGTTTAAAGAAAACAATATTTTATGTTAAAAGAAAAAATGTAAGCATTTTCAATGTAAATACTTTGTATAAAAATGTAATGTATTTTTAGGAATGATGTTCTAGTATTTTATCTATATTTATAAGGCATGACATTTAAATGTATCTTATTGTTTCATTCAGTTTTGTAATCATCCTTATTTAAAGTGACATTTTGCCCACGTGAGAGTAAATGATCAAACAGTTAAAAAGTGACATTTGCCATAATTGCCATCACTTTTTTACGATTGAAAAAAGTCAATAATTAACTTGACAAAATAAATATGTCTACAAATATCATTCAGAATGTATCTGTTTTGTTAAATTCTTTTATTAAGATTTTGGCTGTCTCTTTATAACTTATATAGTTTTAATGTTATTGTATACACAATTTTCATTATCAGCTATTAGACAATTACCATTCATTATAATAGCCAATGTTTTGAAATCTTTTTTTTTTTGCATCAACCATGGTCAAAATATATCATATGATTATTAGATAGTACAAATTGACTAAGAATTCCCCAACATATACATTAATGTAATTACCAAGGGTTTTATTATATCATTTAGACAGGGACAATTACGCTGTTTAATTTTAAAAGTCATCTTAATATAAAGGAGTTCTTATTGTCATTCAATTACTTTTGAAGTAAGTTAATTTTAATGTTTCATCCTTTTTTGTTGCTAGTGTTTCCCTCTTTTTTCAAGAGCTTATATATATATATTTTTTAGAATATTATTAAGAGATATCAAAATGAGACAAATAAGTCCATCTCGTTTACCTTTAATTGGTAGTAAGAATTAGTAACCATTATGAAAGCCACAAGGAAATCGATTATGAAATTGAATGTGTTTATGCATAAAGAGATAAAGGACACAATAAGCTTAAAATCCTACTACTAGCCCAATGACAATTTTAACAACCATAGTCATTTCTAGTTCGATATGATACAAAATTATTCATTAACACATATGAATATTATCATATTTCCTAAAATTATCATAATCACCAAGTTTAAGTTATTTGGTATTGTCTAAAGGCTAATTATTGAAAGAAAATGGTTTTCACATTCAAGGTCCCCGTGAACTTGACGTTCATTCATGGGCCACATGAACAGTAAAGTTATTCTACAAAATGAAGTTGATTATTCTATTAAGTTTGGAGGCTGTGGGTCAATTGGTTATTTTGGAACAAAGCAAAATGGGCTACCTACCGAGCAACATATCAAGCTAAATTTGCAAAACAACGGGAAAATAGCTAAACAATCAACTACATTGTATATACTGAATGCATTTATTATGTACTGTGTATGATTATGAATAAAATATGTGTAAACTAAACAATCAACTATAAATAAGACATGCATGCCGGAGATTAATTTGCCTGTCAAAGTACTATATTAAAATAATACAATGGAAACAAATATTGACATATTACAATACTTTTTAAAATAACTAAATGCAATTCACTCAGCACTACAGTGTCCATTTAATTAAGGACTGCCTCTGATCATAAAAAATAATTCATTGAAAGCGAAATATTGTCTTATATAAACATTGTACATAATGAAAATTAAAAAGATAGAAATGTGGTAAAAAACCTTCTATAAACTGTTATGTTTGTCTTATGTATCCTTGTTTTTATTATCAAAATACAACATACTTTTAGATTATTATAATAAATAGCTAGAAAGTTGTAAAAATGTAAATACATTAATATAAACTCAGTAATCATTGTGATATGTTTGCTTGTTTAAGTCGTTAAAATACAAAATACTTTACGATTGAACGTTGTCTTGTTATTATTTCACACTTACTTCTGAAAATAAAATTCAGGGTTCAGCCTATTTTACAATATTTTACTATTATTGACCACATGCCATGTACTGTATTTCTATTTTTAAAACTGAGAAAAGTTTTATTAACCACAAAAATGGAAGATATAAATGTCAGATAAATAAAAAAAATCATAAAAAGGGTTATCTTTTTAAGATTGAAAAAGAAAGATACCAAAAATTCCTGAAAGCTGTTGAAATCTGCAGACCTCATTACCTGTAACTTACAGCATATATAAACAGAAGCTTTTTACTACTGACCATTGTTTTTTCAAGAAATAAAAAAAACTTTAAAAGTATTAACAAGTTTCTGATCATAAAAAGATGAATTAAAGAAAAAAAGGAAGAAAAAAAACCCCGAAAAATAAATACTAATTCATACTTTGTTAAGCTATAAATATTGAACAAGAACTTGATAATAAAGAAAATTATAGATGATAATACTTATAAGATGTATCATTAAGGTAATTGTGTTGGGGAAAAAATACAAAAAATAATAAGCTCTTGTATTAGTTAGTTATACATTCATTCCTATATAAATATATTTTAACTAAATGGCTCTCCAGTTGGGACCAACTTTGACCCCCCAGAGGCATGATTTATATAACTTTTGTTAAGGACCACAAAATGATGCTTCATGTCAAATATCTAAGCTCTGGTCATTGCAGATTCTTATGAGATTATTACAAAAAAATCATTTTAAAGACAATTTTAGCTTTTTTAGCTCCTGTCATATTGAAATTTCACATCGTATTCAATGGCTCACTAGTCAATAATGTATATTATTCAACGATTATTTTACAATAATTTAAATTTAAGAAAAAATAAGCCCAATGCCAGTAATTCGTAAAATAGACTGGTCGTTTTCTAGAACTTAGAAAAGTTTTATCAACTTTGACAAAGGGAGATAACAATTGTAAGATATATAAACATTCATAAAAGAGTTATCTTATTAAGAGGATTAAAATTGTTTAAGAAAACCGAATATTCAAGATTCACATTTTCGAATTAAATAACAAATTGCTTAACTGTAACCTACTCAACCCCATTACCTATAACAAAGACGGTATATTCAATCAAAAGGACATTTTAAAAAATCTGTATTAATAACAAGTGTAATATTTAGAGTTTTAGAAAATAAATAGTATCAAATTAATCAATCATGGTGGATTTTATTTCATAAAGCATTGACATACTGGTGAAAGAATAATAAATCATAAAATAATTTAAAAATGATAAAAAGTAACTTTCAGATGTTCCATACAGAAAATGAGTTTAAAAAAGATTATTTTTTAATATTTTATAATTAACAATGATCACCTGACCAAGTAAGATCAATAAATACATCAAATATGAAATTGTATTTACAGAATGTTTCAAGTACCAAATTACACCCAGACTGTGTCAATGAAATTATCAGAAGTACTAGCTGATGAAGGTGTCTGTAGCTCAGACACAGATAAACTTTATTGTTCCAAACATGAGCCTGTAATACAAGACTGGTGTGAATGGATACCTGGTGTAATCAACTATTTGATGATTCAAGATAATTCTGTATCTCCTGGATATTGTTTACTTCAAGTGCTAAGACCTGATGCTCCTCTTCCTGCAAATGGAGAAACTAATCAACACTTACTCAGACACAGAACAGGAAAATTACTCCTAAAACATATATAGCACTGTCTACTATAAGTTTCGACAACTGCCAATTACATGGACCGGCAAGAGTAGAACAAGGATTGCCTGGTTTAGCTATGCACTGTAAAACATGGCCTCAACAAGCAAGGCAATGGTTGGATCACCAAGGTAAAGGTCAGTGGCCATCTGCTGAAATGAAATAATATTGCAGCAGAACTGGATGCTTTGTTGTCCCTGTTGGATGTAGAGACAGTGAATATGAGCAACTTGAATTTAGAATATCAACATCTCTTGCTGAAAGGGGTTTAATGTTTAACCTGAATATAACACAGATTTGCTGTTATGTCTTGATGAAAATGATTATAAAATCATTCATTGATCCACAATTTGAAGATGTGATTTCCAGCTACATGTGTAAAACTGTACTCTTTCATTGTATTGCCAGTTCACAGTTTAACATATGGAGAGAAAACAATTTACTTTATTGTCTATCACTGTGTTTATATCTCCTGTATAAAAGTATCATTAATGAAAACTGTCCACATTTTATAATACCTGAAAACAATTTGTTGAGGGGTAAGGTATCACCTGTAGTCAAACCATATATCTTACAAATACTAAAAAACATTATTGACAGTGAAGGAGTGGCACTGCTTGGTATTGAATGTGATGATCTGGGTGCCAGGCTTCGTATAAAGCTTCATAATCCATGTCGATTCGATGCAAGTGATATCATTTCAGGAGTAGTTTTACGTGAAACAAATAGATACATTTAAGCTTCCCTCTCTTTTGTAAGTTCCATTCATAAAAGTCCTTTTGAAGCTGTACATACATTGACAAATTGTGTATCAAAGATATTCAATGTTCAATATGAAGGACTGTATAAGACAGCCTGTCAACGTCTGGCACCATGGTACTGTACAACCCTCGGATCTGTGCTAGCTTCCATAAACATCAATCAGCACATCCCTATATCAGGTGATGCCCTCAAACTCATCTCACTTGGTCTGAATACAGATGCTGCATTAAGTAAACTTAAATTAGCTTCAATATTATATTGTGCACAAAAATTACGCATCGCTGACCTGGTTCTCAGCGACATTGAAAGAAGCTATGATTTCTATATTGTTGAGCCAGTCTGTGGTTGTTATATATTTAAATAAAAACAATTAAGAGAAGGATTCTATGCGGTATGTGACAATGATAATGAAAATGCAATACAGTATTCAACCTCATTATGTGTCAAATTTCTGCCCTGTGAAATTTACTGTGTACCGACTGAACTCGGATATGAAATGATAAGATCTACACCGGAGGATAGAAGAGTCCGCACAGAAAGAATTGATGACTGGATGGACTGTGGTGGATTCTCTCCCTTACCTCTACTTTCTACAGTACAAGGTTAACAGCCATCTTGGGAGACATAATGAAAAACAATCTGCTCTCTCAAAACTTCTCAGAACCATAATAGTCGAACCAAACCTTCGTCACAGGGAAACCGCTTTAAATATTCTCGGAAAGTGTATTGAACAAGAAGGTAGAGAAAGGGATGCTCTAGTAGTCTACAGTATTATTAAATGTCTAGAGAAATAATGCTGCAAAGGTACATATCTGTACGCTTCTATATGTAATGGTAAATGTCAGAGAATAGTGTAAACGACAGAAAGGTGGAAATTACAAAAGTTTAAAGAGGTTACATATATAAGTAACAAGGAACAGTCCTGCTAAACACCATACTTATATGTAAAATATTCCTGCTAGTAAAAAGAAACTTTAAATATTTTTTTTTTTATCAGTCATGTTAATAACTACAGGCATTATTATTATTATTATTATTGATTAGTCTGTATTATTATGTTTGAGTTCCAAAACAGTTTATTATTTTTAGAAATTTATCTTTGGCTCAAAACACAATTTTATCAGTCATGTGTTTGACATTTTATATCTGACTGTGTAAATAGTAGAATTATTTAACTGGATGTCAGCCTGGCTAATTATGTTGAACATGCCATTGTGTTATATACATGAATATAGACTAAGTTGGATATTATATAAGTGTCTTTTATCATACATAATTTATTTAAGTGATATATAAGAGGTCATGTCAGGAGAAGAATTTTTAAATATCCCAAAGGCAGAGCAATATATGCAAAATGTAAATTATGATTGAGCAATCAAAAATAACCTTTTTAATAAGGGTAGCGACTAGTACGTTTACTAAGTTACAAAATGGCGGCACCCATCGACGCCAAAAATTAAAATGAACAAACCATTTTCAGGTCCTCGTAATACATTATGTGTAGTGGAAATCCTGGACCTTCTTGTATTCGTTTTTGCCAGTGTAACAAATAGTCGCTGTATTTCCCATAATCCAATAAAACATATATGTAATGAAACATACATGTAATGATTACAAATAACCCATATCTACACAATTTCCCTCATACTACTTAAAATCCGAATTTTTATCAGTGTACTACTCCAATTCTAATTTAAACAAATGAGTTTAAGCAATAGGAATATTTAAAAAAAAATGTTACCTGTTCATTAACAAAAAGGTCAAATCAGTACTACAAAAATGGATAAATACGGTATTTCCAATTCTACAGAAAAAAAATAATTTTAAAGAGTGGTCATCAAGCTTCTCTCATTCCACTAAAAACAGTCCGTATTCCACTAAAAACAGTCCGTATTCTACTAAAAACAGTCCGTATTCCACTAAAAACAGTCCGTATTCCACTTAAAACAGTCCGTATTCCACTAAAAACAGTCCGTATGCAACGCTCATTGCCTTCAGAGCAGTATCGAAGTTTGATAGGGATTAAATATCTTCTTTTTTTTCAATTGGTCTGATTGATTACCCAAATTCAAGCTATTTATTACTTTTGTTAAAAGGCTGTTAATTTTAGATAATTACGATGCACTTACATAGAAATTGCTTAAAAAGGTTCATTATATTATGCCTAAGAAATGAATATATTTTTGTTGGGTTTTTTTTTTTGTAAATTAAATAAGCAAAAATTTATCTAATTCTAAATAATCATAATCGGTCGGTTTGTACATTGAACAGTAAAATTAATTATGATAATCGAAAAACAAAACAAAAAAACAAAAAACATATTCATTTCTGCGAAAGAAAAAAAATAGATCCCAATGACAGAAATGTGTCTAATTACATGGAAAAATATTCGATTATTTAAATTCATGATTATTTTGCCTTTTTTTAAATTAATCATTAATTAAAATAATCGATTATTTTTCCAAGTAATTAGACACATTTCTGTCCTTGGGATCTATTTTTTATTTTTGCAGAATCGGCAACTACCTAATTGATCATTATGCATGTTCTTTTTAAAACAGAGGTGTGTTCTTTTTTCATGTTTTAGAACACCAGTCATGAGGTATTCTTACATTTTCCTTGCATAAACACTGGTAACCAATCTTCCCATTTACCATCATAATCATAGATATTTAACCCCTTCATGTGATTGTAGTATGACACGGCCGTGTCTTTCGGGTTTCGTAGACATAATACTGTTTTAATCTGTTTGGCCCTCATATCTTCCAGAGGCAGATATCTATAAATTAGAGTACAACATTATGAGGTTATTTCGAGATTCTTATACATTGTTGAGTACAATACTGAAGTGTAATGGACTATGGTTACATTGCTGTCAAGTCTATATTGAACGGGGTGCTAGCCGAGTTCAATATACATATTACAGTTACGAAAGTGTCCAATTGCTACAGTATTGCACTCAAGATTTGATAAAAAAAAACCTTCATACATTTACACCACCATTTTTAACATTTGACATATCTTTGCTAATTCGAGTACAATATGGATTTGATATGGATTTTTTTTTAAACTCTGAACATGCAAACGAGGCTAGACGGAGTAGAAAAGTAATGTTATATGGTTTTTATAATGACTCTACAAATAAAAACGAGGCTTATTTGAGCACAATAGTGACTTTTTATGATTTTATTTCACTCTAGAAAAGATGAAAACGAGGTTTAGTTGATAAAAAACAATATAATAATGATTTATATTGGACTATTATGTAATACAAACGCTTGAAGTTCAAATTTGCTCACCTCGTACAAGGTATAAAGTAAATAAATTAAAAAGAATCAGAAAATTTATCAAATAATGTACACAATTTAGATGAATTATATGAAATTTCATTAAAAACTACAAAAGTTCAAGTAGATATAACGGTTCCCCTAATACCGCTCCACCCCTGACATCATTGTTATCCAAACATTTACTTATTTGTTAACATGGCGCCAACTACACCTACAAGCATGGAAGATTTACCTACAAATAATTGTCATGAACCTCTTAAACTTTGATGGCAATGTGAACTTTAATGTACAGATGCAACAGTTAAAACAGTTAAGTTAAATTATAAAAATGTGTCGTTTTTCTTGTTACAATTTGCTTGGGGAAACAAATAAGTGCCATGATACGTAACGGGTCTATCCTATGTTCATTTCTTGTCTTTCTCAAGAAACTTGAGAGCAGCAATTTGTGGCCATGGTTCAGTCACGTATTTTTGTTACGACATGAAATTCAGAGTAGCATTTAGTTAAGGTATCTGCCTCTGAATCCTCACAACGAAGGTTCCAACCATACTGGTACACGACCATATTTTCTACTATATCAAAAGTAAGAAAGCGGACAGAAGAGGGGTTCAAATGGAAAGACACAAGGTTTTTGTGATCAAAATAAAAAAAACTAAATTCAAATTATGTTAATATATCAAACGAATAAAAAAAACCAGATCATTTATCATTACTTTGGCCGGTAGTGGCAATTCATGACTCGTGGTGATGGTTGTTGGTCGGCCTCTTCTGCCGTTACACCTTCAAGCATCGTGAATACTTTGTAAGTCTGAATCCTTTCAGCAGATCTGTTTAAAATCATCATAAGGATTTCATATACCCAGTTTGTACCTACCAATTACAAAGATAAAAAGAAAGAGTGTGATAACAAGCATTAAATAACTACAAGGTGTATCTTCAAACAAAAAAAAAAGATTTTGACCGTAAGAATCTTTTATTCACTGGTCTTTTTAACTTCTATGTCAGAACAGATTGTTATCAGTGCAGAATCTTTGACGTTTTGCACATTCGATTTCACTTTTACTATGTGTGAAAAAATAATTTTTCATCTTTAAAATGATCTAATTGATGTCTTGTAATTTTTTTGTAAATAATTTTAATTGAAGCATATTATCATTAAAAGACAAAGATTATCATCCCAATAGGTGTTTTCCAAAATTACTTAGGTAAAAAATCATGACAATCGATGATAATATTTAAACTAACCGGTTTTAGAAAATGTACATAGCATCAGGTCATCATTCCGGAATTTAAAGTTTGGAACATTGTCGAAAATATCTTTTATTTCTTGTGCACTTTTAAAGAATATCGGTGTGATAAAATCCCCAACGTCCACCATAGTAAGTGCGGCACCACCAGCATCCGGGATCTTCACTTTTGCCATTGCACTTTTTTTAAGGGAATAAATGTATCCAAGAAGTCATTATTTCATACATGTGTACATTGTATTTTCATGAAAATTTTGAAAATGTATGTTAAAAGTCAAATACTTGTATTGTTAATTGGAAAAAGAAAGTAATTTACACTTTGGGAATGGGATTTACAATCCACTTAAATTGCCAAAATGAAGTCAAAATATACAAAAATAGACCTCGATATAACAGAAATATCGTGAAAAATGCTGCAAATCAGTCATTAATTGCATATGTAAATTATCACTTGAATTTTGAATCTTTTTTCCATTCTTAAAATCTAAGAACATTTTTCTTTAATTTTCTTGAAATATTTTGGCTTATATGGAGGCATGCAGCTTTAACTTTTACACAAATAAAAGGAAAAATGTATAGAAAATTGCTTTTCCTTTTCACTGTCTTTGGAATTGCTGTGTCCGCAACGGTGGTTGTTCTTCCATGGTCCTGTTTACCTTCATATTGTATAACAGAGGAAACAAATTTTGACTCAACTGAATTCGATTTCCTCGTTGGAATGAAATTAACTGCAGCAAATGGGAAAAGATGACCTATTGGTTGAGAACCTGCCTCTCAAACCTAGGCATTGAGTGTTTCACCTTGCTCTGGCCACTGGATGCATTACCAGCGGTCTACAGTGTATGGGCTGCGTTTCCATTTCGATCTTTCCGTTTTTATTTTGATTCAAGAAGATCAAGTGCCGATAAGCTTTAAAAAGAAGACCCGATATATTCAAATAAGCTCTTACCTTTCTCGACATTCAAGCTCGAGTAAATAGGTTTAAATTAACACAGCATATGCCCTAGTAGCGGAATAACAACAGATGAAGAACATGAAAAACTTGAAACTAGTCAGACATATATATCATCATTGTTTTATATAAAGCTATTTTTATACTTTTTAGAAAACACTATTCACAACTGCTTGAATAATACATAGATTTAGGTAAACTTTACCTTACTTTCTGTTTTTATTTATTCTAAAAACATAAAGTTATATCCCGCAGAAGTATAGTTTTAAAGTGGTATTTCAGTCGCTACGCGCATCAGAATATATCTGGTGTAATGCACATTGGACATGCATAATCACGCGTGATACTTGATGATAAAATTTGAGAGATATATGTCTGTTAGATAGAAATGTAAAATCTGACACTGACATTGGTGATGTACTCATTTGAACTTATAACGTTTGTGTCAGGCCAGAAATCCCTGCGATATCTGAACAACGTTGACGCAATCTAAAAAATAGGGCAATCATTTTATCAGATAATAAAGGATGACCTTGTTGCACGAAGAAGAAATTACTATATTCCAAATCATAATCTCTGGTGGCCTTGTCGATGCATATATGAACGTAACGCTTCAAAGTTTGTTTAAGACTTCCTCAACTCATCTTGTCTAAATGATCCATGCAAACGTTTTTATATTTGTATCACAAATATTCGAAAGGCACTTGAATTATGAATAATGTGCGGGGTACGTAGTGTTACAATGATTAATATTTTTGCCCAAGAAAAAGAAACTGTATCCTTTGATTTCTGAATGTGTCACTGAACTTGGTCACAAAACAACATATTTGATGTTATATGGAGATAGTGCATTGTCCAATTTTGGAAATTGTAGAAAAAAGCAAACAATAAAATTGTGAAAAATATGAGTTCAATTAATAAATTGATATTTTGTGTACAATTTGCTACTTATTACTTACCTGCGCATAGGTCAAATGTTTCTCTATCGCCAACTGTCAGAAGTAACGTAAGTGTATTTAGTGAGCTGCGAATGGAGCGTAGCTTCTTTCATGACAAATCATTTGACATTAAGTGCTTTTTATTCATGTGAAAAGCATCTCCCAAAAACTTGTTTAATCAGAAAGCTGTTCAATCAAATTTATCAAACATATTTTAACACATGGAGCTGACTTATCCCCTTGAGTTTTGTGTCTGCCTAAAGTTTGTGTATTTTCTTTTTCTAATATTCAGAGAAAGAAAACGAAACATCAGATCGGATTATAACTGTTTATTGCATGGGAGGCATGTGATACAATGGTAATGAAATGAAATGTCTGGGGTCAGGTTCCTGGTCAAGATAACTAAAAAAGATTATTAAACAACAAATATATGAGCAATATTTTAATGCAAGTTAGAAACTCTGACAAATCAAAACCCCTAATGCATCAGATTCAAACTAATAGCCAAAGTCAATATTGTAACTTTTATAGGTGTTTAATATTTAAACTTTGTGAAGATGCGTGTTTACATGATTCACTGACGATGTTTTATTCAGTTCTTATCCGATTTGTTATTGAACACCTGTTCGCCTGTCTAGGACAGGTTCGCCATGCTTGATTATTTCACTACTGTACTTCTAAGGGTTTTATATTTCATATTGTAAACAAAAACATTACGGCTTCCATTTGATGCTTTGTATCGAAATTCTGCCTTGTTTGTAATAATATTACTTTGAAATGATGTACATTTTATGATATATAAGCTGGCTTTTTGTTTACCATCATCCAACTCTCAAAGAGATATGAAAAAGTTAGACCGATGCCAGTTTGTAGTCGAGAGGCCGACAAAATGAAAATTTGTATTGCCTTAAAATAAATAAAAAGCCCCATTCATCACATCCATATGTCACTTTGAACAGCGGTCCTTCATTCTATGTGAATGACGTAACAGCAAGTATGGCTTTATTGACAATGTGGACGTTGAAATCAATGATGATTTGGACGATATTTAGCATAATGTTTTTAATGCCGATTAACGATAATTTGTTAATTTGAAATAAATCATCATAAATTTAAGTCAAGAAATAAAGACAAAGCCACTTGTGATATAATCTTAATTGCCCTATTGACTTGGTATTATTTGAGCCCAATATTGTTATACCGCGTTTATTAATAACTTGCATACTAGAAATCAACCCCACCCAAGTTTTGAAAAAAATATCTTTATTAAAGTGACATTTTACGCATCTTTTCATTGTCAAGCTGTGCCAAATTGACTATATATTCCATAAGATTGCCTGCTATTACGGTGATTGACCAACAGTTGATACTGAAAAACGATTAGGATAAAATATAAATCTATTTGAAATATAGAATGACTGTCCCAAATTTTTACTAAAAAATTTTTTTAAAGTTTTTAAAAAATTTTCGTAATTCACGGTGAAAAAGCCATAAATTTTTTTTAAAGAGTTTTTATTTTAATTTACAAAAGAAACTTTTAAAAGAAACAACATTCTGTAAGGCAAATTTTCCCTGTGAAAAATTTGGAATGGAAAAAAAAACTTTCGTTTTTTCCCAAAAACCCCTTTTAAAAAATCTCTGTTAAGGGGAAAAAAACTCCTCAAAAAAAATTTTTACCTGGGAAACCCAAATTTTAAAAAAATATTTTCACAAAATTAACCTTTTAACGATGATAAAAAAACATTTTACATAAAAAAAAATTTTTAATCTTTTAAAAGTGTTTTTAAATAATTATTGTTTTTGTGTTATATTAACAACATTTTGGGTTTAAAGAAAAGCCAACCCGCCTAAATTTAATTTTTTTAAAATTTCTGAAAATATTAAAATTTTTTTTGAAATTTTTAAAAAATCTGAAATTAAAAACCAAAGGCAATTTTTAAAACCATAAATCCCCAATTTGGCCCCACTTAACCCCTAAAATTCCCAAAAGGGGGTTTTTCAAACAGAAAAAAAATCCTATTTTTTTTAGAAAACCAAAATTTAAAATACCAAAACATATATTAACCCAAAAGAGGGAAAGAATATTTTTAAAACCTTACTTTTCCTTTAAAAACTTCCTAAAATTCTAATTTAAAATTTTTACCCTTTTTTCCCTTTAAGGGAAATTTTTTAAACTCTCGGCTTAAATTTTTAAACCAAAGATACCCGGTTCCCCTTTTTTTCCCCCATTTGTTTTCCTTTAATTTTCCAATAAATAAATATTATTATAAAACTAACAAATTTAAATTCCCTCCAATTTTTCCCACTAAACAGGGGGAATTTTTGGTTTTTGTCAACAAATTTTGGCATGAAAAATTTTTGAACTAACCCTCAAACCCTTTCTAAAAAAAATGAAATCCTTTAAGTTTTATTCAAACCCTTAAAATTTTTCCCCCTTTCTAGCACCCTTAAAAAAAAACCCAAACTTTTCCAAAATTTGCCCAATTCTATTGAACTATTTAAATTTTCAAAAAAAATAAAACCCCTTTTAAAGGGGGTTTCTGGCCCCTTTAAAAAAAGAAAAACGTTTTTTTTGGGAATTAAATCGAAAAACCCCCAAAAAACATTTGTCAACGAAAAATTTTAAAAAAAATTTTTATCAAGGGGAATTAATTTAATCAAAATTTCCTTCGCTTTTTAAAAATCCAACGAATTTTTAAAATTTTAAACCAAAAAAATTTATTATTACTAAACCCGGCCAGATTTTTTAAATTTTTTTAAAAAAATTCCCCCATTCCGGGGGTTTTTTCCCCAAAATTTTGCCCAGGACCCCTTTAAAACTGAGAAAATTTAAGGGGGTTCCCTTTGAATTCATCAAACCTGTTTGTCCTCGGGCCTAAAAAACTTAAAAAACTTTTTTAAAAGAAAAAGTCAATGAAATCTAAAAAAAAACAAATGAAAATTCAAACCTTTTTTAAACGCCCTCGGAATCACTGAATTGAAATAAACCGGGGACCTTTTGTAATATTAAATTAAAATACTTCCAATTTAAAAATTCCGAAACCAAAAAATTAATTTTTAAATATAGAAACTTAAAAAGGGAGGGGATCCCCTTTTCTTTTAAAGCTTTTTAATTTTACATTAAAAATTAACTTAAAATTAAATGTACCCTTTGGGAACTTTAAAATTAAGAAAACTTTTCCGGGGTTTATCCAAAGCCCGCATTTTTTTTTGGAAGGAAATAAAACCTCAAATTAAAAAAGATTTTTAATTTTAAAAAATTTTGGCGATTAATAAAAAAAAATTTAAATGGAATAAATTAACCCCCTAAAACCGGGGTTTTGTTTTTAAAATTTTGGGTTTGTTTTTCCAAAATTTTAAAAATAATAAATTTTTAAACCGCTTTTTTTTTAAAAACACGTTTTTGTACATTTTTAATCAACTTCAAAATTTTTAAAGAATTTGCTCCAATTTAAGCCGGTTTTTCCCTAATTGAAAGTTTGGAAAATGGGATTTTTACAGTAAATTTTAAAAACGAAACTAACTTTAATTAAAAAATTGTACTTATAAAAAAGGTTTTTTAAAAACTTACATTTCCCTTGGGAAAAAGGGTAACCAATTTTCCCTTTTTAAACCAAAAAGTTCCCCTTTAAAGGTTTAAAAATACACCCCTTTTCTTCGGGGGGTTCGGCCCCCAAAATTTTTTTATCATGTTCCTTGCCCCAACCTCCAAAAAAAAGGTTTAAAAATTTTCCCAGTTCAAGTTCCAAAAGGGGCCTTATCCTTAAAGGGAAAAAAAAAGGGAAAATAAACCCCCTTGAGCCCAACTAAGATAAAAATAAAAATTTTAAAAAAAAAACCCAAAAGGAAAAATTTAAACAAAAAAAGTTTAAAAATTGGAATTAAAAAAACTTTTTTGGGAAAAAGATGGACTTTTTTAAAAACCCTAAAGGTACACCAAAAGTTACAAAATTTAAAAAAGTTTCCCCAAAAAAATTTTGCAAAATGAAACAAAATTTAATTTAAACTTTTTAATCCCCCAAAGTTTCAAACCCGGTTAAAATTTTTCCCCTTAAAAAAACCAAAAATTTTTTTAAAGGTTCGCCCATTTTTTTTCTGACCATTTTAAACGGCCTTAAAAATATCCAAAAAGGGGAAAAGAGGGGTTTTAAAAAGGGCTAAAAGCTTTTTTTTTCACAAATAAATTTGGTTTAATTTTTGTTTTAAAAAAGGTTTTTTAAAAAAGGGTTGAAAAAGGAAAATGAAACAAAAAACTTTAAAAAAATTGGGGATGCCAATGGGCCATTTTTTGTTGTTGGAGCTTTTGGGGGAAAAATTTCAAAAAAATTTTTTGGGAATCTTTTTTGGGGGTTTCCCCTTTTAGAACCGAAAAGAACACATTAATTTTATTTCTACTCCAATTGTACCTAAAAAAGAAATTTTATTATCC